AGAGAGAGAGAGAGAGAGAGAGAGAGAGAGAGAGAGAGAGAGAGAGAGAGAGATTAGACTAGGTGACCTTGAATTCCTGAACTTCCTGCCTCACTTCAAAAGTGCTGGACTCATCGGTATGAACCATCATGCCCAACTACACCTTTCTTCATAAAGTTGGATTGCCTGAGGCATTTTATTACAGTAACCCAAAGCTGGCTAATAAAACAGTCGTGTATAGCTTAATTAAAAGGATACATTCTGAGAAATGTGTTGTTAAGCAATGTCATCACTGTGCAAATAGCACATAGACTGTACTTACACAAACTAAGACAGTGTAACATTCCCAGACAATATAATCTTTAGGATTTCTGCCACATACGCTATTGAACAAACATTGGTATGCAGCACATGGCTGCATATGTTCTAATCCTGATCTTAAATGGGCCTTGAATGATGACAAATTTGAACTATCAGAGTCAGCAAACATGCCGTGAAGCTTCCACTGGTTTGAACATAGCATAGTAAGCAAGGTGTAGTGCAACAGTCAGCTCTGGGCGCTGCAAAAGCCTTGGTCTGTAGCATTGACTGATTCCCGAGGTATAATTCCATCTGACCAGGGCCAAGTGCAAAACCCCAACCTATCTTCACTAAATGCAGAGAAAGCAAGAGATGTTTGTGTCCAGGAGCCTTTTCAAGCCAGTCAACGTGGACTCCAGTTCCTCGCTACTTGCAACTCTTAGCACTTTGGGAGTCTGAGAGATTCTGGAAATTCCTAATTCATGGTGGGGGTGTGGGGGGGGATCCACTCCAGCAAACTGCCCTGTGACTCCCCAAGGGCACTGCAGCACACCCTGCCCCCCACCACATAAATAGATGCAGGTTTACTTTTTATTTTTTAATGTGAAGTGAATTTGGGCTTGGGACTGGGGCAGAATTTCCAACAATTTCTCAAGTCACACTAAACATCTTTTTTTGCCATTCTGAACTACATGGTATAAGGCAAAGGAGTAATCTCGACATTGATGATTATACAAATATACATCGGTTCTAAAAACATTTAAAGGTGCTCTGTGTCCTTCAGTAGAAAATATCCAACCAATATTTAATTCACTATGCAGCTAGACAAGCACATCCATCTCAGTATCAAATTTGCCTTCATTTTCAATAAGGGTAAAAATTATATGTATACCAAA